CTCCTCTTTTTTTTGGTGAGGAAGACTGGCCCTGGGCTAACATCCATGCCCATCTTTTTCCACTTTATATGGGACGCTGCCACAGCATGGCTTTCCAAGCAGTGCATCATTGCGTGCCTGGGATCCGAACCAGCGAACCCCAGGCAGCTGCAGTGGAGCATGCGCACTTAACCGCTTGCGCCACTGGGCCAGCCCCGCCTTGTCAGTTTTTAATGTCTCAATATCTACAAGCATTTATGGCTTAACTATGGACACAAGAGGCATTCCCAAAAGAGAGTGCAAAAGGAGTAGCCCTCACAAGATCCAGAAAATTCACTCCAAAAAATAGCCCAAGAAAGCAAAGGCTTCCACTGCACAGGTGGTAGTGCACTGACAAACAACAAGGATTGAGACGACAAAGCCCCTGATGGACTGGGACCCTTCATGACCAAAGAGGTCACAAAGCCAAGCTCTTAAGACATAGAACAAGACAAAAAGAGGGGAAAAAACCCCCTTCATCTTATATGCACATTAACAGCTTTAGCTATGCTTTTGGTCTCTTGGAGCCAGACTAATACTGGGTGGGGGAGGTGCCATGGGGTTGGGGATTGTGTATGCTTTACAGAGTATCTTGTTGTTGCACGGACATTTTCTTGAAGTTGGTGGGGTACCTGTGTCATCTACTGCATTCCGTGACCAACTGATCCTTTCACGGGAGACTTCTTGAGGTGGCGAGCACCCTAATGGCTCTTAACTGCTCGACTCATGCCCACCAATACTGTGGCTCTTTTAGCTTCCAAGATGCCCTGTTAGCAATAGCTTCCACCTTATGCACATACTCCATAGGTGGGCCCTATGGAAAGTCTACTGCAGGCCTGCCCAGACAACAGGCTTATGGAGATGCCTGCATCTTGCTCTATGGGTTTTCTTTTATGACAGATGTCACTAAAAACAGAAACAAGGACAAATAGCGACCTTCTCCGGGAGGAGAAGGATCAATAAACCAATGGGTACTCAGTAGCTCGTACTACTAACTTGTAGCTGAAAGTCACCCAATTCAGGAGAATGCAGCCTAAGGGGTTTCAGTTGGGGATCAAATTAGCATTTCCCATTGTTTCAGAATTTAGGCATCGCTGGTCAAAAGTATATTTATGCTGAAGCTAGAATTAGATTGTGAAAATTTCAAGCATTCCTAAAATCAAGACCCTTACAGTGAATGCCCAGCCAAGGCTTTCTTCAAATGGCCAACGTAATCCCCGGAGGCTGACGGCAGTTTGGTAGGACTCTTAGCCACAAACAGGAGTGCAACCTGCATTTCTGTGCGACGACTATCTCTGACCGCAAAATGAGGTGCCATCGTATTTTGGTCCAACCGTATTTTGGGGTCCACCCACAACCTGACAATTATCAAGCCAAGCCTTCAGGACACAAAAAAAGCTTGGTAAGATTCTGCTGTTCTCTGTAAACATTTACACCTTCTGGAAACTCTTGGTTGAAGGGTGAAGCCCTTGACTCTTTAAAGATTAAAGATTTTTCCTCATTCCTTGGTTTGGAGGCTCAAAAAGAGCCCAAAGTGGCCACTGTAATTTTAAATTATCCCGGGTTATCTTGCCAGCTGTTCAGCAGTTATCCCCATTTTAGGGGGCTTTTCCAAAGGTAGTCACAATAAACAAGGTAATTTCTCAAGAGAGTTTGTTATGATCACCGGAAACCCAGTCCCCAAACAGCCAATTTTAACAAATAAAACAGTCAGACATAGACAAACATGAACAGACACCAAAATCCAATGTTCTGGGATTCTAACCCAGAGCTCAGGACTCTAACCTGATCTTTTTGAGTGTCCCAGTGGCTGTAACCTTTAAATTGTCTCCCACAAGCCTAACCTTCGGGCTTGAACCCAGCAACAAAATCTCATCAGTGGGCCTCTAACCCACTATCCTGATGAGGTATTAGACAATTTTAGGTACAGGCGCATTTTAACGAGGTCACTCACCAAAACCCGAAAGACTTCTGATCCTGGAGCTCTTTACAGAGACAGACACAGATACAGACAAACTGGTTCCTAGATTCTGGGTGAAGTCCTATACCTCTTCACACTCTGGCAGGGCATCCTATTAACCAGATGGTCCCCATTCTCAAAGAGGGTACCCCAGATGGAGGGGAAGGAAAGTTCTTTGTGGTGGACCCCTGAGGCAACTTACCCTACTCCAGATGTGAGCCTGTCGACCCACCAGAAGTAGCTGTTTCTCTTTCTACCATAGGGAGCATTAGGAGGCAGCCAGCATCAGCATGGGAGAGCAGGAAGGGCAGTTCCTTTCTCAGAGCCTTGGCAGCTGCTAGGGACTTACCCAACAGGTTGCCTGTCCGAGGTTGGCTGGCCATGACCAGGACTTCATATGCTGCTAGAGTCGCCAGATTTCTGTTACTGCACAAAGGGCACGATCTGCTCGCTGTGAGACAAAAGCCAATTGTTAAGAGGCAAGATGGTGGAAAAGAAAGGGAAGGTATTACAGCTTGCTTGCAAGGGGTAAGATGGCTGACTAATGTCTCAAAGAACCATCTTCAGGGGGCCCAAGATCTTACAGCAGTTATATAGGCTGATGGGTTACAGGGAGGGGATTAGGAATGTTGATCTTCTGGTGTTACAGACTGGGAGTGCCATGCCAGATCTTTCTGTTTTCATTGATGATGGCTATCAGCATAGGCTCTCTATTTGGGGGTTATCACATTCCTAAGGAACTCAAAAGAACAAAGTTATCATCTTATCACAGCTGGGAAGTACAAGCACAAGCAGGGGTCATAAAATATACAGAGCACTTAGATCTCCTGGAGAGTGCATATCCAGCTGGGTTGTTTGTCAGAGATCATTCAGAGTTACAATAGGGTTTCTTTTCTACAATATGGCTTCCCTTATGTCAACCTTGTCTTGAGCCAGTATCAGTTGTTGCTCTGCCTGTGAAAGTACTTCCAACCTCTAAATCCCGGGAGTTCTGAGGGGCCATCTCTGCTCCTGGCCCAGGTGAACCACACTGAAATGACCTTATCCTCTGAGGAAGGGGGACTTGAGGGTATCTTTCAGTAGCCAGAGAGGGGGGCTCGCCCTTCTCTTTTCTCCTATATAAAATAAGGTGTGGCCCTACAAGATTCCTTATGATATAAAAGAAACAGGATTTTAATATAATATTCAAATCTAATACTATTAACAACAAATATTTCCTCTCCCCATAGGTAAATAGGTGCTGGGGGAGAGATGGCAGGGAGTTGGGGTGGGTCATACCCTCTTTCTTGGGCTTCAGGGACCCAAGGAAAAGGCTTACAATGTTCTCCTTCCCATCAGGGTAGGAGGAGCTGGCCTGGTGTACCCCAAGTGTCCCAGCTGTGTCCCCACTGCTGAGGAAGAGGCTGCACTTGATCTGGTCTCAGGGGTGTGATCTGCCTCTGGTACAGGCTCTGTGCTGGGGGCCTGGTGACTGAAGAGAAGAGATTGATTATTGGGGGGCCTCCCCAGTGTCATGGCCTACCTACCTGCCCCCACTGCACTCTGTGCTCCAAACCCTGTGCTGAGTGCTCAATCAACAGCACCCCATTTGTTCTTGACATGGGAGGTGTCATTTAGCATCACCCACTTCACAGAGGAGGAAACAGAGTCCCAGAAAGGTGAGGAGAATCCCCCTCGCAGGACTGCTCAGCAGTGGAGCTGGGATTGCAGGGCTGGTTGTCCAACTCCTCATGCTCATGCTTAGCTCAAAGATTTACTGAGGCCATGGATTCAGTTACTGCCAGTCCAGACACTCACTCAGCCCTGAGCTTGAAGATGGTGGGCTCTTCTTGGCCTTGAAGAACTCTTGAATCTTGCTAGCCCACTGGAATGGGGGCTCCAGCTGGCAGGACAGGCAGTAGCTACAAGACAGAGTGGACTTGTGAGCTACCAGGAGACACACCTCAGGCGTCCCTCCCAGAGCCTGCCAGCAGCTGGAGTCCCGTTGCCCCAGGGGTTGCCATGCAACAAGGTCTGGGGCTGACCAAGGAGGCATAGCCATGGACATTGGAGCTGGCCATCAGGGAGAGTCTGCCCTGCCCTCACCCAACTCCTGCCCTGCCTCACCTCTCATCCTCACTAAGGGGCTCTGTGGCCTGGAACCAGGCCCCAAATTGCTCCTTGGGCTCGAAGTTGTATTGATTTGCAGCCTCCTGGAGCAAGGGGATGTCTTCAATTACTTTGAATTGCTGGGACAGAGGAAGGACAGAATGCAGACAGGGCCTGGGTGGGGGACCCTGCAGGGGCCTTGTAGGGGTTAGGGAGAGGGGCAAGGAGCTGGTCTGGGGTCTTTGCTCACATGGGTACCCTCTTTCCCTCCAATTCCATCCACAACTTGCCTGTTCTCACAGTTGGGTTGAAATAGCTCCTCTTCTGGGAAGGTGTCCTTGATGCCAGCCCCTTCCCCCGGCTGCCAATGTGATGGAATCCCCAGCTCTGTGCATCTAACTCTCCCAATAAATGTAAGACTCAAGGGATTGGGCTAGAGGGGGTCTTGCCTGGGGAGGGGTCTCTGATTTCCATACCCCCACCATCCCCACAGTGAGGCCACAGCTGCTTACCTCACCCCATTTCTGGAAGTTGATCACATTGTTCTGGAAGGCAAGCAGCCAATGTCCATCAGAAACAGTGCCCTTAGCCTATAACTAGCCTGCATCCCCACCCTTTCTCATATTGCTCTACCACCAAGGGACAAGCACTTCCAGAAACAGGACTTGGACCTAGGCCAGGCTCTGGGCTCCACAGCAGAGGGGACAGGGGAGCTGAGGCCAGAGAACTTGTAGCCCAACCCTCTCTGATGACAGATAGGGAGACTGAGGCCTCAGGCAAGAAGGGACAGCTCAGCCCCTGATGTGCTTCCTGACTTGGAGGGGCCTGACTTCACCCCCTCATGGGCAGGGCCTGAGGGAGAGGCTAAGTCCAGCTCAGACACAACCTCCTGTAGCTCTGCAGTCAGGCAGCTTTTAGCTTCACTAGCCCAGGATGGCAGCTTATGCGGAGCCTCCATTCACTCATTGCTAAGATGGGCCTGATGCCCCAGCTCCCAGGGGTGGCTGTGAGGCTATCCTGAGAGGAGGTTTGCCAAGTGCTGAGAGCTCAGGGCTCAGTGTGGGGCTGTGTCCTCCCAAACCTCGGGATCCTGATTTCCAGGCCCCACTTCCAGGCTCACTCACCTCCAGATAATCCTCCATCGCATTTTCCAACAGCTGCAGTTATCTGAAGTATGTGCCAAAGAAGGGGGTGACACCCTGTGCCATCATGGTGGGGGTGGTGATGAGCCCCTACTCTCAAGTGCCCCTAAAGACCCTCCCCTGGAACCCTTTGCCCCAGCCTCCTGCCCACACCAGGCTCCCACATAGAGCAGCCTAGGACCTTAGCAGCCTCCCCCCAGTTCCCTCCTCCTTTCCCCTCCAGAAGCACCAAACTCCCCCAGTCACCTCCCAGGGCCAGCTTTTGGCACATCCCAGGATATGTGGTCCCTGCGCCTCCCAACCCCAAATCCATCCTGCACCCAGCCCTTCCAGGCTTCCTCCTGGTCACTTCCAATGCAGGCCTTTCAGGCTCTGTGGCACCAGGAGCTGGGCTGGAAGAGGAAGGCCCTTCTTCTGGTGGACACCTGCAGCTGGGAGTGGGGAGCTCCCTCTCCTCTGATACCTGAGCCCCTCCCCCACAGGCACCCTCACCTGCTGCTGCTGCCTCTCCTGGGCTCCCTGGGGGTCCATGCAGGGTGGCCAACATGGAGATGGCTTCCTGCCAGGGTCGAGGACAGGGTCAGTGAGGTCAAACTTTCCTCCACATGTCACCCCATGCTTCTGACCTCAGACCCTGCACATCTGGGTTGAGTTACCTGGTGCCTATGCTGCTCCCACCTCCAGGGTGCTCAGATCCTAGATCAATCCCAGCTCCAACACTCACTCCTGTGTGACCTTGTGTCTGCCCAGGCCTCCCTGAGCCTCTTTCCTCTTCTGGAAAGTGAGAACTCCACGTGCCTCCCAGGGGCTCCTGAGGACTCAGTGTCATCTGACTGTCATCATTGCTTTCCCATTACCTCTCAAGGAAGAGAAGCCAGCACAAATCTCCTGCACATTCCTCTCCTCCCTTGAACCTTGTCACTCCCCTGTGAGGCCTCCACAAAAGATTATATCCCTCCATTTCCCAGAGGAGGAGACCGAGGCCCACGGAGGGACAGTGACTTGCACAGGGATCAACTGAAGAGAGGCCACTCCCAGCCAGAGGCCCTGTGCCCCTTGCCTTCACTCCACCCCCAGCCCACCACTGACCAAGGTCCTGGCCTCTGGACTCTTGGGGTGTGTCCAGGCCCCCAGAGAGGCTGAGACATGGAGGGAGAGGGATGAAGTGTCTTAGGGGCTGGCCAAGTGGCTCCTGCCTGCCTCACCCTCATGGGAGTCTCTGACACCCAGGCTGGGCCCGTGAGCATGCCAAAGGCCTCACCTCCTAGGATCCCCTAAGGATGTTCCCCACCCCTCTTGCCCTCCCCTCCTTCTAGATCTCCAGTCTCCATGTTACCTCTATAAGCAGCTTCCAGCTCACCCACTGGTCTTTGGCACACACCTTCTTAAATTTTCAGGAACTCTTCCTGAGGGGAGGGGAAAGAAGGAAAGAAAAACTATGGGATGGTTTAAGGGCAAAACCCTTTTGTTTGAGAACCCAGAAGATCCAAAAAGACTGGGTCCTGGGTGAAAGTTTTCACTGGGTTCCTCTGAGCCCTGAGGTCTGCATGTGGATTGGGGAAGGGGTTCTTCTGTTGTCACCTGGGTCTCCCATTCCCATATCTACTGAGCAGATCTGTTTTGAACAATGTTGGTTTCAGTTGGAGAGAGTTCTGTTGCTGCAAAGTAAACAGGTGGAAATCTCCAATTTGGCTCAAGCCAGGATCTGACATTTAAGGAAAATAATTCCTGAAGCAGAACTGCTGGCCTAAGGTCCCAGAGAAACTCCGAGACCTGCCAACCAGGTCAGTCCCTGTCCTTGGGGTTTGCTGTCTCCCAGGTGGTCCCAGCTGACTGAGGGGGCACTGCCAGCCCTCTGTGGGCTGTCTGGTCCACCCTGGTGGTGTTTGCCTACCCACCTGGAAACCTCTCCTCATGTCTTCTTCAGATGGTGAATTGAGGGGCTCTGCAGAGCAGAAAGGATGGCATGAAGTGGAGAGAAATTCCTGAGGCCTGGGCACTCTTGGGGAAGGGAAGAGAGTGAGCTCTGAGGGGGAGCTAGAGCCCTGCTGCCTCTGGCTTCTGTCCCCTCATTGACGTCTCCTGTTCTGGATGAGACAGATGCCCAGGGAACTGGGGGAGGGCACTCCTAGGACCCGATGAATAACACTGCCAGGCAAGAGGATTTTAGCTTAACCCAAGGAAGAAGCCCAGATGGGAACTGAGCTTGCCACCATGGGACCAGGAATCAAGGTCATCACGGCCCTGGCAGGAGGGCCCTAGTGGCTGTGCGGGGGCTCAGACCACAGACTTCAATCCTGAGAGCTGAGAAAGGAGAGGCAGTTCTCACAACTCCAGAGAGGGCCTCCCTGGGACTCCCATGACTTACCTTGGCCGCTTGGATCCAGAGCTCCACCCACCTGGCCCTGTCCTGGGCCATCATGCTCGGGTCCCTGAGGCAGGTAGTGATGACACAGTTGGCCACAGTGTTTAAGTGTGTGACAGTGGCACGGATGGTGGGCACCAGGTACTCATTTTCCCTGTCATCCCACCAGAACCAGATGATGTGCAGACAGTGGCAGGGCACCACCTTCTTGAACAGCTCCTGAGAAGGATGGGGAGTATCTCCCAGCCCTGCCACACCCCAACTCAGCATCCACAGTCCCCCACAGTCCCAGGCAGGGTTAGTGGTCAGAGCCAGAGATCAGGAAACTGAGGATGGGGCCTGAGGCTTGTGGGAGTCCCTGGGTTTTGTCTATGTCTACTAAGGGCACCCAGCACAGGATGACCCAGGATGCAGTACTGTGGGGAAGGGAAGTGGCATTTGCTCCCAGCCCAGTCTCCCTTCCTCCAAGCACTGGAACGTGACTCTCACCTGCGCACCTCAAGGGGCATCTTCTACCCATGCTGATCACCCCTCGGTCTGACTCCCCATTCAGATGCACATTCCCCCGAGGCAGTGACAACCATGGGCTTTGTTTGTTTGTCTCCCAGGTAGTCAAGTACACATTGGGTGCCTAATAAATGCTGAGGCTGTTGAGCCCTCCTGGGCAAATGGGTGATCCACACAAGGACCTGGCAGCACTTCTGTGAGCTCCCCTCCCCCACCAAGGAGCCAGACTCTGCCCAACTTCCTCTCTGTTCCATGTCATTCATCTGCACAGCCACTCTGTGCAGCAGGTGCTCTTAGTGTCCATCTCTACCATCTATGTGGGGACAGCAAAGGCTTGGGGCTTAAGAAAGTTGCCTAGGTCATACGGTTTGTAAATGGAGGATCTGGGGTTTGGAGCCAGATCATTGGACTCCAGATCAGGAAACAGCAGGTCTGGGGCAGCTGATGGCATAGGGAAGGCCCGCCCCACTCACCCTGAGAGTGCTGCTGCTCACCACACCCATCAGTGTCAACTGCTCGGCCACCAGCTGGGGAGGGAACTCCAAGAGATTAGGCTTCTCCTCCCTCAGCAGGTTCTTGGTGGTCACAGCCCAGGGGCAGGCAGGTTCTGTGGCTGGATCTGGCTCTGTCGTTATTTCTGTAGCTGGAGGTGGAATTCACAGTAGAGCCCATGGTCAATCTGGCTCCAGCTCACGAGTTGGCACTGGGGCTGAAGTTGAAGTTGGCACTTGCTCCAGCCATGGAGGGGCTGAGGGAGGTGACACTGGCTCCAGCTCTAGCACGCGTGGTGGAACTAGAGCTGGAGCTGGCTCTAGCCCAGGAACTGGCCCTTGCTCTGGCTCTGGAGCTGGCACTGGAGTAGAATAAAGAGAAGTTTCACCCACATACCTGACTTTCCATATGCCTTTCCAAAGACAGGAAAGAATCCACTGCCTTTAAGAGATCTCCAGCCCATGAACCCCAGCACAGATGGTCTTCCCAGACTGTAGTCCCCTCACCTTCCAGCTCTGCCTCAATGGGCTCTAGATGCTCCAGATGAACCCAGAGAATGTTGGCATGGCCCTCCAGGTCTGAGCCAGGCAAATTGACATGTACACAGGCCAGCTTCAAGGTGAAATAGGGAAAGTGCAGGGGATCCCAGAAGTTCTGCACTTGGTCCAGCCAGGTTCTCACCATAGAAAAGACGGTGCTGGGGAAAGGCGGTTGGGCTGCAGAGTCAGAGGCCTGGATTTTCCTTCCACACTGCCCTCCCAAGGCACGCTTGCTTGGGTCTGGGCCCCCATGCCTGCCCCTTCCCATCCAGGGGAGAGCCTCGTCCTAGCCCCAGCCCCTATGTGGCCGTCTTGGCAGTGGCAGGCCTACTCATCAGCAGGTTGAACACAGAGTCTGTGTGACTCTCTTCTTCCCACTGACACTCTTCTACCTCAGGGCCTGGACACAGCCCACCCAGCCCTCCATGTACCTGGGCAACAGGACTGAGGACTGAAGCAGATTTGTGAGCAGGTTGCTCACACCCCTCCTGTTCTGGGCCTGGTGGTTGTGGTCAGAAGGGGTGGATGTGGAGAAGGGGAGGAAGATTGAGATGGGACTGTGGTGGAGATGCGTCTCTAGGGGACAACTTAACTCAGCCTCCCCTCTGGTTCCTGGGAGACTGGGACCCCATCCACAGTTCTTTTTCACTCCTGTCCTCCTGCAGTGGAAACCACCAGACCTCAACCCTCTCATGGCAATCAAAAGATGAGTGAGAAGCCATCTGCCAGGCCTGCCCCAGCCATAGCACCCATGCACCACTACCCTCCTCCACATTATGTAGAAACAGGAGGTCCTCCTTCTGGACCCAAACACCATTTACTCTTTTAGGTGGCCCCATGGTCTGTCATCCTGGTCAGAATATGGGAAGATGCCTCCAGATGTCGAAGAGGCCATGAGGGCATCACATGAGATGTATGGTAGACATACAGAATTGAGGCCCAGGGATTGTGTCTGCTTCATTCACTGAGTTATGCTAAGTGTCTCCAACAGTCCTGCATGTAGTAGGTGCTTAATATATATTGCTGAGTGAATGAAGTCCTACCAGAACCATCCCAGATATCTAAGTGGGCCTGGGGCCCCTCTGCTGCCCCAGTGATCCCTAATTGGGTCCACCAAGGACAAGGACAAAGACCAGCTGGATAGAAGCTCAAACTCCTTGACAGGGTGCTTCCCGTATGCTTTTCCAAACTCAGAAAGGCTACATCCCAGTGATGCGTGAGGAAGTCTGCTTTTCATGGGGGAGAGAAAAATAATCACCATGAACAACCACAGCACATTCCCCAGCCCTTTTTGCAGAGCCAGTCACCAGGTAAGCACCTGCCTTGGCTGATTCCATGATTTCCTACAATAACCCTATGAGGTTCATTTTCTTACCATTCAGCTTTTCAGAAGAGAAGTGAAGCCTCAGAGAGGTGCCTTGACATTCCACAGACACACAGTTAGCAGTGGAGACTCACCACTGTGCTGTGGAGGGGGCAGCACTCTTGTATGGAACAGCTGGTCCAGGACCTGTTGGGTGGCGGTGAAGGCCTGGTACGTACATGGGAAGGTGGCGATGTAGGACATGTTTCTATCTGAGAAGACCAGGGACTCTACTGCCATCTCTATTGTGCCTGCCTTTGGGGTCAGCATTGTGCAGACCTCATCCGGGGACAGGGTTGACTCTTTTTCACACTGGGTGGGCAAGGAGGGTCATATAGTCAGTGGCATCATCATGAGCCACCAGGAAGATCGGGGTCTGGATCTCAGACCAGAAACTCCCATCACCTCAGGAACTTGGGCAAGAGGAGGGACATGAGTGCCCACAGAGAGAAAGGTTCTAGGCTTTAAAAGCATCATTTGATTTTGGGGAGAGTGATAAACAACCAGTACCTTCAAGGCTTTGTGTTAGCTGAGAAACAATAGCACCTCCCTGTATTAATAGCCTGTATTAAGAGCATTATCCCAGTGAGTCATCAACAAACATCCCCACTGTAGATATTGGGAAACAGGGGGTTAGGGATTTCAAGTGGCTGCTCAAGATCACACAGGTCAGAACTGAGAACTGTCCATAGCATGGGCTGCATGACATTCCCTCTCGACTACCTGAGGCTTGGTCTGCTCCTGACATGGAGGGGAAGGCTCTGGGGAAACTACATTCCTGGAAGGACCCTAGGGGAGTCACCAGATTCCAGTCTGTGTTCTGGGTCCACCCCAGTCATCTCGGGGTCCTGGGTGTTCAGACTCCTCTGTGACCACACTTACCCTAGACTAGTGTTGGCTGTTCTTGGTTGCCAGATGTACCTGCTGCTTGCCTAGGGAGATGGAGTAGTTAAACTCATTGACTAGCTCCTCAATGATGTCCTGGGTGGAGGTCTTCAAATACAGAGCCCAGGACTGGGCCAGTAGGCATCAGGGGCAGTCCACCCAATCGGTGGTCCTATGTCATGGCAGCCCTAGCAAACTAACACAGTCTATGAGGACACACTTAAGATGTTCCCTGCAGCACTGCTGAATTGGCAACAGAATTGAATCACGTCAAGGTCCAACAAGATTGAAAGGCTGAATCACTGTGGCAAATGACTTCCTTTATGGGATATTGTGGAGTCATGTACAGCCACAGCTCCTGACCTGACAGGCCTACAATGATTTGATGTGTTCTGTGAGATGACAAGTTGCAGAGAAATGTATAGAATCAAGTAATCTCACCCCCTTCCTTTGTGGATAAATCACCCTGTCAAGAGTGATGATTTGTAAGGCTCAGAGAAGGTCTGCAAGGATGGTGGAGCTGAGTGCTCCACAGGATACCTGGGGTGGGTCATTAAAACAATCAAAACAGTAGCAAAAGGCTGATACTCATGAAAAGTGGCCTCGAGAAAAGTGAAAACAACATTAAATATCTTCTCAACGATTCCAACAAATATGTGAAGAGTGTATTTCTACTCTATCACATAGTGGGTGGGTTACGTGTGGAGGTCCAGATTCCTTTAGGATCCAGCCTGTGGGACACTTCATGTGGGAAAGCCCTGGGAGGGCCCCAGGGGAGTTCCCAGATTTGAGCCTGAGTTTTGGTTCCACCCTGATCATCTCAGGATCCTGGGTATGGAGACCCCTCTGCATCCATTCTCATCTCTGACCAGCACTGGATGGTGTTGGTGGCCAGGTGCACCTGCCCCTTTTCTAGGGAGTTAGAGCAGTTGAACCCGTTGGCCAGCTCCTCGGTGATGTCTAGTGGAATTTCTCAGACAGTGCCCAGTAGCCAGGCCAGGAGGCATCAGGGCATGCCAGGATATTGTCACAGGGGGACAACCCCATGAGAATTTCTGTTTCCTAGTTCAGGAACAGAGAGGTATCTTGCAAAAGAGTCTAGTCAGGGAGGGAATGAGGTGAAACCTCTAGGTCTCAGGTCGTATATGGTTAGAGGAACTCACCTTCTCATGCTGCCAGCCATGACCTGGGGTGTGAACATGACTGGTCCACCAGGCTTCTAATACCTAACAACCTGCTCTTGCCCAAGAAGACCATGCCCCTCATCCCTTGCCTTCCCCCCTCAACACACACACACACACACACACACACACACACACACACACGATGAGGGCCACGGGGTGTGGGGCTGCTTAGGTGGGATCACAGTTGTGGTGGCCCCTGCACTGGCCTGCCCTGGGCTGCCCTGTGTTACTTTTGGGTGCCTCCTGCCAAATGGCCAGTGGTGTTGGGGATGAGGGCTGAGCCATCTACAGCAACAGAAAAGTCTCTCACTCTGGACTTTCCTCAGCCCAGAGCCTCTGAAGTTCAGAACACAACAGCAGAACATCTTGTTCTCTGGAGTGTCTCTGGTCAAGTGAGCTGGATGGGGCCTGTGGGTGCCTGGTGACCAGAGTTCTAAGTTCTGTTGGGACATATCATAAAAGAAGTCAGGTGACTCTCTCAAGATTCCATTACCTGGGACTCTTTGTTCAATCAGACCTCCCCAAAGCCCTATTTGGGCTATTAATGTTTACCCTCCTCCCCATGTCATCTCTTTAACTGTACACAATGAGCCAGCACAGCCCTGGTCACAGCTCCTTGGAAATGTAACGAGGGTCCTAGCTTTGAGGAGACAGAGTGAATTCAGACTTCCTTTTTCTTACCAGTTCTCTGTCCTGGAAAACTCATTGTGTGTCTCAGGTCCTCCCCAGTCTCCCAACCTATACAATGGGGATCGGGCTAGAATCTACTTCCTAGGGACATCATCAGGTATATAGGATATAATAGCTATAACACCTGTGGGCTGGTGTCATGTGTATCTAAAGCACAAACTTAGAGATGGAAGAATTATGAGAAGGGGTGGGACATAGCACGGAACACCACTCAAAACAGGCCTGGGTTCCAGCAATGTGATATTGGAACAGTCACTTCTAACTGGGCCTCATTTAAATGTCAGAACCATGAAGGGGTTAATGAATGAAATTCAGACACTGTCTTCCTTTGGATTAAAACCTTTCAAGTGTTTCCTATTACATTTAGAAGGACATCCAAGTGCCTCATCTCAGCCTGTGAGGTGGGCAGCCTCCACAGTGGTACCCAGTGATCCCCACCCATGATATACACATGCCTTCCGCATCCTTGTGTAACCACTGAGTGGTTAGTCACTGGCTTCTGACTAATAGAATTCAGCCAATGTGAAGTGATGCCATTTATAAGTTTTAAACACAAATAGTTTCTCACTTCCTTCTTACATCCTCTTTTATGTTCCACCTCTCTCTGTCTATGTCTCTATGTGTCTCTCTATCTCTGTCTCTCTCTGTCATATCCATGAACTGGGGAATCAAGCACAGATGTTTTGAGCTGCCCTATGGAGAGGCCCACAGAGGAGAGAACCGAGGCAGTGCCCAGGCCAACAGACAGAAAGAACTCGTGCTCTGAGTCCAAACTGCATCCTGAATCCTTTGCGTGAACTTGGGAGCAAATCCTTTGAGTGAACTTGGGAGCCCCAGCCTGTGAGACATCTTGAGCAGAGGAACCAAGCTAATCTGTGCCTAGATTCCTCATCCAGAAAACTTGTGAGATATTACATATTTGTAATCTGAAGATGCAAGGTATGGGGGCAATGTTTTCAGAGAGGAAGGGATAACTAACAGTCTACCAGGCCCCAAGCCTGCCCTCCTGCCTCTGCTCCTCTCTCCTCCCAGGCTCCCTCCAGCCACTCTCCTCCCACTCCCTCTAGCAACCTTTCTAACCTCCTCAGTCAAGCTCACTTCTGCCTGTGAGTCTCTGCACCAGTGGTGCCTTCTCCCTGACACACTGCTCCCAGACTCGTGCAGGGCTGGCTCCCTTAGTCCTTCTGATCCCAGTAAATGTCACCCCAGTGAGGCCTTTCAGATCTTCCTACCCAGTGACTGCCATCTCATGTCTCACAACACCCTGCTTTGTTTTCAGGTTAGCACTTACTCTTTTCTTCACATGCTTCTGTGCTTTTGTTCTTCTCTCCTACAGACTGGAAGCTCCCAGAAGACAGAGACCACTTGGCCATTTTCAGTACTGAACTTGGACCCTCCAAGTCACCTGGCACAGGGTGAGTTCTCTGAGCATAATCTCTGAATAAATAAAGGGAAAGATCTTGGAGCTCTTATTCCTGCCTCTGACCAGCTCATTCTACAAAGAGGATCACTTATAATAGGAGGTACATGTTGTTTCTTAGGCAGGAGCATGGCCAAAATGACCTCTGCACAACTCTGCCTGTTCCAGTTGCTCCTGCAAAGCTCAGTAGGCACCACTGACACTGGAGGCTGCCTGCCCCCTGGTGGTCAGCACTGGCACTGCAGCCCCAGGCAGGAATCTTTCTTTGGGTGACCTCAAGGCAAAGGCTCTCCGGAGTCCCAGGATTAAAGCAGCAGGACCTGAAGGATTTCAGGGCTGTGGAAGGGACCTCAGAAGACACTCTTGCCTGCTTCTTTGCCTTTCACCTCTGGGGTGTCCAGTTTGCTCAAAAGGCATCCTCACCTCAACCAGGGCAATGATTCTCCCTACTTCCAAATGAGACCCCCCAACTATTAGTGGTTTTAGTCTCAGACCCCTGACTCTCAGTCCCTGGCTCTGCCTCATCCATATACCAAGTCTTCATTCCCCAAGCTCCTCTCTTCCCTGAAGGACCTTCAGGGAGTGGAAAGCATTTACCCATGTCCTCAGGGCACAGTGGGTCATTGGTAGAGGACCAAGGTCTACAGACTTTCCAAGCATGCAGAACCCTTGGGGTCAGCCGCTGCAAGTGCCCAATTTGTAGAGAAGGAAGCTGAGACCTTCTCTCCTGTAGTCCCTGTCTATACTGGGGGATGACGGGGTATGCCCAGCTCAGTTCAAGGGGCCCAGAGCAGTGGACTGCAGGACCCCAGGCCCTGTCCTCTGGAGACTACTATGGAGCTGGCCCCTGTCCAGGCAGGACTGTGGGAAATTTAAGGATCGCCTTCATGCTATGGACCTCTGGACATGTTGCCAGGAGAATGGATGCCCCTATTCCATTGCAGAGCTTTCTCCAAACACCTTCTTCTCGTTACCTTGTCACTTACAGGGTGTCTCTTCTTAACCACCTTCCCCTGGTCCCAAGCTGTGAAGTCTGCTTCTGTTTGTGCACGCCTGTGTGCAGGTGGGGATGTAGGAAGGAAAATAGCCCAAATTGGGAGGGGCTGGGCAGGGTTCACCAGGATCTTAGGGGCTCTCATTTCCAAAGTAAACATGACTGGAGGAGTTGGGCCCGGGCCTATGAAGCCGGTGTCCTCACTTTTCTTCTTGACTCTGACCACATACTGTGCCCTGGGCCTGCCTCTTTCTGAGCCTCAGTTTCCCAATTATACAAAGAGGCATTGAATGCAGAACTTCATAAGTGCATGCACAGCAGGACATTTGTCCCCAACACTAGATGGGGTGTCAGGGTGGGCGGGCTTGAGTGGGCACAGGTGCACTGGCCTCCTAACATGGGCAGATGCTGGTGGACACGGAGCAGGAGCAGCCAGGTCTCCTGTAGAGGGCCCAGCACTCACAAGTGGCCACATGTAGGCCCCAGGACAGTGAGTGCACCTGAGCCCTGCCTTGCCTCTGGCATGTGCACTGCACCAGCTGTTCTGCTCATGAGGTGAGTTCTTTACCATCCCCCACCTGCAGCCTCTGAGTGCCCCACATCTTCTGGAGCCCTGTGGGCACCCCCAGTGCAATCAGGTGGGTCCTCAGAGTGCTAGACCTGGTGGGCCTGCTGAACCTGGAGAAGAGAGAATGCTTTTCTTTACCCCCTCTAGCTTTGTCACATTTTGAATTCAACAATTTTGTCATAGTATGACTGAGCCTGAGCATATTCTCATATATTTAGGACTATTTATATATATTTTTCCATGAACTGTGGGTTCACGTCTTTTGCCAATTTTTCTACTAAATGTGTGTTCTTTTTCTTGTCAATTTCTAGGAACTTGTTATATATTGGGGATATGAACCCTTTTGTGATATGAATTGCAAATATTTCTTCCCAGTTTATCATTTCTTCCTTCTTTATTGTGATGTTTTGGTTTGGTTCAGTTTTTTTTTTTGTGTGTGTGTTTTTGTTTGTTTGCTGTTCTATGTGTTGTTAAGATGTCACTTCTCCCCTAGTTGATCTCTAGATCATACAATCACAATAAAGTATCTCAGCAGCTATCTATGTACACTGACTATCCAACTTCAAAATTTCCATAGAAATACAAGCGGCCACATATAGTCAAGACAATCCTGAAGGGGAGCAACCTTGGAGGGCTTCCACTACCAGATATGAAGCCTTAGTAAAAAGCTACAGTCATCAGGGCAGTGTGCTATTGTAGCAAAAGGACAGCCGCAAGGAGAAGGAGAAAGAATAGAGAGTCCTCCTGAGACCCACACATACAAATATTTGTATGTGACAGAAGAGGCAGGCAGAGCAGTGGGGAGAATATAGTCTTCTCTGTAAATGGCACAGGGGCACTCGTTATCCATATGGGAAAGAAATTCATCTTGACTCCTACCTCATGTCATAAAAACATTCAATTTCAGGTGGATTTTACATCCAAATGTGGACATTTAAAACAATGACATTTGTAGTAGATAACACAGGAGAGTATTTTCATGACTTTGGGGCAGGGAAAGATTTCCTAGATAGGTCACAGTGTATACTAAACATAAAGACAAAAATTAATAAATTGGACCTTATTACAATTAAGAACTTTTCTTCATCATAAGACACCTCCAAGAGAGTAAGAAGGCAAGAACAGAATGGGAATAAACACTTGCCATATTTTATCTGGAAAAAACCTTATACAGGATATCTAACTAACTCCCACAAATTATTAAGAAAAAAGACAATCTCCCAGGAAAAATGGGCAGAAGATGTGACTAGGCATTTCACAAAAAAGATAACCAAGTGGCCAACAACTATTTGAAAAGTTGCACAACATTGTTACTTGTCAGGAAAATGCAAATTAAAACCACGATTTGATACCAATACACAATGACTAATATAAAAGCCATAACAATACCAAGTGTTGGTGAGGATGGAGAGTAACTGGGCTTTCATACACTGCTGTTGGTGTAAACTGTTACAATCACTTTTGAAAACTCTCTGTTAGGATCTCCTAAAATGGACTTATACATACTCTATGACCCCCAAATTTCTCTTTTAGGTAAACACCCAATAGAAATGCCTACATATGTTCATCATTGCAAAAGAGTGTCCAGAGCAGCATTTTTGGTAATTCTCTCAACTTGAAACAACCCAAACTTGCCTCACTAATAGAAAGGATAAATTGGCATACCATAAAGAAATAAAAATGAACTACAGCTACATTCATAAACACGTTTGAAATTCACAAACATAGTGAAAGAAGCCTGACATAAAAAAGTACATTCTGTATGATTCCATTTAAATAAAGTTCGAAAACAAGCAAAACTAATAAAAAAGTGAGAATATTTGTCATTCTTGGGAAAGAGGGTGGGATGGGTACATGGGGGGTTCCTGGAGAGGTGATAATGTTCTATTTCTTGTAGGTACTGGTTATTATCATGGACAGATGGCATAGTTTTTGCTTCTGGAACTACATGCTGTAGATTCATATTCTGGATCTCACCCCTTTCTATCTCAGAGATCTTGGCCAAGTTACTAACTCTCTGAGCTCAGGTCTTCATCTGTAAAATGGGCTAATTACGGTAGCTCTCTTATAGTTATCTATTATTAATATTAATAATCCTCTTCAATAAATATTAGCTCTTGGGGTGGTCCTTGTTGCTTTCTCTATGGCCCATGGGGAAGATGGACGATGGCCTGTGGAAGAGGAAGGAGAATGATTAGGCTTGAGTCAAGAAACATTTTGAAGTAGAAGAGTAAGTGGAAAGGTATGATTTTGGGAAAAAGAGACTAAAGGCTTGGCTTTGCCCCTTCCACTTCCAGTCTCTGACTTCCTGCCCATCTCTAAACACAGAAGTTGGACTAACTAGGTGTTTTTACAGCTATAACATTGTAGAGTCAGCAGTGCAATGCACATGTCACCCAAAAGCCAAACACAAATGTCTGTATTTGATCCAAACTCAAAGTCCCAGAAATTTGGGAGTGAAAATCCTCAGTGGTGGGATTATGGCGTATTTTTGTTTTCTACATTGAGTTTTTTCTATTTTCTGATTTTCTGTAATAAGTGTGCCCCCTAATCAGAACAAAGCACCATACATGATATATCCATGCCTATATATTTATATCCATATGTTTAAAAAATATAAGCACGTGCCAAATTATAGATACCAGGAAATAGGACCCAGAAACCATCTGGGCAGGAAAACACTGTTTCTGATGCACAAAGACCAAGCCAGCAGGTCACCCTGGGTCAGGACAGAAATGTCACTGACTGCTCATCGTTCCCGGACATTTCCTATTTTTTATTGTGTTTTTTACCCCTTCCCTCAGTTGTCTACACTTTTTATTTTTCCAGCTAAAATTAGTCCAATCTTATGCTACAATATTTCACATTGCTCGTAAAATCCAGGACCAAAGAAGGAGAATAAAAGGGTTTTCTACTCACTGTTTATTTCTTTTATTTTTTATTTTTAAAAAATTTTATTTAATTTTTTATTGAGGTAACATTGGTTTATAACATTGTATAATTTTCAGGTGTACATCATTATACTTCTATTTCTGAATAGATTACATCATGTTTACCACCCAAAGTCTAATTACAATCCATCACCACACACATGTGCCTAATCATCCCTTTTGCCCTCCTCCCTCCCCTCTTTCTCTCTGGTAACCACCAATCCAATCTCTGTCTCTGTGTGTTTGTTGTTGTTTTTATCTTCTACTTATGAGTGAGATCATA